TAAATGTAATTTTCGTAGTTATTTGTTTTTGAATATTTACCATTTAATATATAATTGATAGCAGATGTCTTATGACCTGCTTTTTGTGTTGTTGTTGTTAATCTTATTCTTTCCATAATTTTATATTAATAATATGTATTTCCAATGATGGCGGTTGATGATTTTCTTTAAAAAAGGTTGACTTGTTCTTTTTCGTTTCAAGACTCTGAACCTTTACATATCTGCTCGAAAGTGAAGAAAATATTGATTCAGCTGTTATGGATATTTTGAATAAAAGAAAAAGAAACAGTCTTAGCGGATTCACGTAACCTTGATTTAATAACTTGAATACAACAAATTGAAATAAAAGATTAACTATAGGTGATATCATATAACATTTGTCCCAGCTTTAACCTCCCACATTAGTAGTACTATCTTGAAAAAAACATGATTACACAATCATAAAAATATGAATTGCGAAGCTAAAAAACGTGCATGCAGACAGACAAAAACGTTGTAACAAAACTAACGTTTCTGTAAAAATAAACATATCGATCTCTGTCAAATTTATTTCATCTCTTTATACAATATAATCAATCAGTATAATTCAAATCATCTTTCGAAAAAAAAATCTATGGATGTTAGTCATTTCTCAATCATTTTACACGACATAGACAAGATTTCTTCACTATTAGAAAACGATGGTGGTCTGAAACAGTCAATATTTGGAAAGATGGAGCAATTCTTTTGTAAATGGACGATATCTTTCCTTTCATAGAATGCACAAATTTTTCAGCTCTGGTGAACATACTAGCGGTTTCCAAAGTTCTCTCCAGCGGATATTGCTCGAACGACTCGAATTACTTAAGGCCTTCTCCTCACTCAAAAATCGCTCTCAGCCCAGGTACGTTCAAATAGGCTGAAATTTGGAGCATAGGTTGGGGCTGAAGTGGGAAGGATGTGGTAAGATTTTCAGCTCGATACTCTGCTGTTTGACAGAGATATGAACCAAATAAGGGTCAAAAATAGCTCATTTTGCTTCCAAGATTTCTCAGCCCAGGCTCTGTCAATATGTTTAAATTCTTTTTTTGTTTGAAAGATCATCTCAGGATGCAGGGCATCTCAGAGTTCTTTTTTTTTAATTCTTACTTTTGTTAGCGAGAAAAGGGGATCACAAGTTCAATGACTGATAAAACGCGCCAAAAATGGGTGTCTATGTCTGTATACATAATAAAAAACCAAGCTTAATTTAAAAAAGGACTATGTGGTGCTCTACACCTCGACGCACTCTTTTAAACGAAAAAAATTAAATATATTGACATAGTCTGGACCGAGAAATCTTGGAAGCAAAATCGAAAAATCATAAACCGAGAAAAAACGAAAAACATTTTTGGAACTGAAATTTTTAAAGATTTTTGTACTTTTAGACGTTTTTTTGGCATATTTGAAGAGAATAACCACCAACTGTCATATATCTTTGTAAAGTATATATAAACAGACTTCTTCTTCATGGATTGTTGAGTATCATTACATAATCAGTTCTATCTTCTACGACATAATCACATTGGACTTGATCCAAATCATTGCACTACGATCAATTGTATATTGCCTTGATCTTTTTTTTTTTATAAATTATATGCATAATAAACATTGCATGATGTTTAGATGACTAAAGCATTACTCATGGTTTGTAAAAATGGACATGATAGGAAGAAAGAGTAAACGAATGAGCGAGCTGGAGACAGAGAGGGCATACAAAAATAACGCCATAGATGACAGATTGAGATAATCCATCTTGTTTGTATTGAATCATACGGTTTTCCATATTTCTCTTTCTCTTATTCTCCTTCGTTCTTTGTTTGATCTCAATTGAGGTCTAGCCGTACTCAAAGCATACATAATGGTTTCTATAACGATTAATAAAACTTGTTGAAACGTCTCTGGTTTCCATTAAAGTACTTATTTTCTATGCAAAACCCTCAAAATCCATTTTTTTCCAGGAAAAATCACGTTCTCCACGCAGCCGACCACAGAAATCATCAAAATTTTAGCAAAAAAAGGGAGTGTTCGATAAAAAAAACATATCATATCTGAAAGATCTGAAGACGATCTATCTTCCCATGCATTTATCTAAATTTTGAAAATTCTGACGAAAATTGACTTTTTTGAGTGGAGGGAAAGACCTTAAAGTCATTAAGTACTCGCACATGTATCTTTCCTTTTTGGATGACATATTATGTAACGTTTAATATTTTTCGATTTGAACCAGTAGCTTCCAGACCGTACTCTTAGGAATTGGTTTTTCGATTTTAAAAATCCTAGTACTCCTTTTATCATAAAATGAAAGGATGAGGATAAGAATGAAGATGGAAACGGGACCGAGAATGAAAGATTTAGTTGAGGATGAAGATTAACTCGTCTGAACTATAAAAATCTTCTGGTATCCTTGGAAGATTTTATATACTATTAAAAGATAAATCTAATAAATCTCAATAGCTCCTTGTGTTTAATTTTATTTGTGAGAATTTGAAATCATCCTAAATTTTAATTGCTCTTGTAAGACATACATTCAAATACTAACGAAGGAAACTTGTGGAACAATTAATTGATAATAAAACTATCAATTATAGGAAAATGTATTAAGATTTTAAGAGTTTCTTTATAAATGAATATATCAAATCCACATATTATAATGATCAATGCATTGTCTATGTAAGAAGATTTCATGATACTTATTTCATTAGTTGTAAATACGAACAATGAATCATAAAATTCATTTGTTTCAATTTTGAGTAAACCGATGAAGACCATCGAAAGTATTACATTCTATCATATTATGAATTATCCTTTGTTGTTGTGTTCAAGAGAAACATTTATTACATCAGTTTTTACAACTAATCTCAAACAATATGTTGCTTCAATTCTATAAGAAAACAACACTGCACATATTGTTTGCAGAGTCGAGACATTCACGAAAAATAGTATAACAACACTCTTTTCTTTGATTTATTTTGAGTTAGTCAAAAATAAATATTATGAAGAATAAAATGAAAAAAAAATACATACGTATATTCATGTTGTTTATTTCTTGTAGATATTTATTCAAATAAAGTTGTTTGATACTAAGGAGCAATATAGCGTTGTTAAACAAGGATCTGAAAAGCCAGTATTTTGAACATTTGGAATGGAGACATACATATTCATGATGTGAAACTAAATCAATCGAAAATACATTAGAATGGTAAAAGCTTTTTTTTATTCTGCAAGTTATTTCAATTGTGATGTACGGCATAATAATGATGCTTATGGTGTTAGTATGTTTATTTGTAGAAAATGTAATTTTAAAACTTCATTTCAATATGATGAAGCAGTAGAAAATATTATTATGAAGTTTCAAACTGGAATTCTACTAATATTATCAGTGAATGGACAGAGAAAAATCTCAAAGCTAATAAATGAATTGAATAAAAATGATTTTCGATTTTTAAATGTATATTACATTATGACGCAATATTCTTTTATTCGGACATAGAGTGAAAAGTATACACTCTGCAAGTTGAACAATTCCTAAGAGATCGATGAATGTTGAAATATACTGAGTTTAATGTGATAACAAGCTACTATAGAATAACAATACGAGCTCTGTCGCTTTCGAAAATAAAAGTGAACTTCGTAGGTTATTCTATATAAAAGAAAAATAAACAGATCTTAAAAGAATTCGATTAAATCAATTTCGCTTTCGTATGTACTTAAAATTGACAAGTTTTTATTTCTAAGAAGTAATATATGATTAAAAAAAGAGAACTTTTAAGTTAAATTTTTTCGAAAAAATATCTGCTATCTTCATTGCATTATATTGAATACCTTTTCTAAATTATCACCTTGTTATGTCAGGAGATGTCTCTCCTGACATAAGGAAGCTCCATGTATTCTCTTGTGACGTTATCACTGTACATCAATGGTATTTCTACTCTTCTTTCTCAATGGTACTTTCATCATGGATAAAGAAAGATAAAAGAATGGAATAAGAGACAGAGAGAATCACATTCTTTGCTGCTTTTTGTTTTTTGATTCATTCACTTGTTTTGTTTTTTAAAGAAAGGGTGAGAATTATAAAATAAAAGGAGTAAAGGCCTAACACACCTATAGTCATTAATGTTAAATCTACATATAAATATGAAATATTATTTATCATCGATACTCTATCAATATTTGTTGTAATTCAAATCGAATAAGAAATTTCATTTGATTCAGAATAGTATAAAATACAAGATTGACAGATTGACATTAAATTCTAATGAAACTAAAACTTTGACATTATCACAAATAATAAATCAATGTTTCACTTGAAACCAGAATGATGTTCTATATGAATTAATTATTGAATTAATATCATAAGTAGTTTGTTTGGATTTCATATTGACAGAAAAGAAAAGGTCATCATTTTATTCCAATAATTGTTGTTTACTTTGAACCATTACAGAAAGAATCATTATGTGAACATGTTCATTCAGTTATTTGTTAACAGACAAATAATGAAGTACATGGAAATCATGCTTCAAATATATTCATCAGCATATAGTTTTGTTCAATTGGTAGCGATTTTCAAGGATCATGAGCATTTAGAAGGTACTATAATGGCTTATTCTTTATTTTTTATGTGGAAGTTACTGAATATTGATTAAAAGTGTTAACAATAGTATTGAAGTGTTTTCATACACAACGAAAGAATAAACACAAATCTTGATTTATCAATATTCTCAATAATTTTTTATAGAAGTTCGACGAATAGTACTTGTAGAGATGACATTAGATATTGTTGTTTATTGTTAAATTTTCAGAAAATATTTCACAAATTTTCTTCTTTGATAAAGAACAAATAAATACTGTAAATTTTATTCTTGCTCTAAGAGTAATATTCTACGCTTCAGTTTTTATCAAAATGAATTGAACGAGATGATCTTTTGAAAAAAGAAAACATTATTCGACACGTTAACAAGTTTTCAATAATTTAATTATTTTTATTTACCAAACCAAAAGCTAGCATACATCCTATTGTTATAATATATAAAATCTCTTCCTTTCATTCTTAGTTCTTCAGTTATATTATCGAATTTTGAATACCAATACATATTTGAATGAAATGTGATGCTTGAGAAATTTTCAAATTGATTAAGAATTAATTGCATTTCATCAGCATCCTGTATGTAAACTGTAAGATGTTTTACTTGATTAGATAACATTGAACAAATTGTTTGTAAATATTCGATTAAATAAGCAGGTCGTGAAGAACGTAATTTAATTGATTGAACATTGTATGCTTCATTTAATAAATTATTAATAATTTTTATAATATTCTGAAATGATTGTTGATTTAAGTCTAAAGTCAATGAAAGTGTATAAAGTTGCGAAAAATCGATAAGTTTCAATAGATAATCAATAAAATCATTCGAAAATTCATTAGTAATCAAGAGTGTTAGTTTATTTACTCTTGAAAATAAGGTATGATTTGATAGTAAATTCTAAATAAAAGAAAAATAAAAAGAATTTCTATATTTATGTAATGAACATCAGCCTTAAAAAAAAACAAGAGAATTCTATTCGAAATAGAAGAGATTTCTTAGAATACACCAATTTATGCTATCTGACCTGAACATAGGATAGGACAGTCCTGCAGGATAGAATGAAACCATAATTTATGTCTTATTCCACCACCTGCCAGGACAGAGTAGGGCATCAGAACAGGACAGAAAAAGTTGTCCTTTTGCTCAGCTCTGATTGTTACTACTAATCACAGAGAAATTGTTTTATTCTATCTTTTTTGGCACATATTTCACTATCCTTTTACAGAATCTGCCAGAAATGCAATAAGGAAGTAGTTCATATATTATAATAAGACTTAATTGATTTACGATCTGTGATTATATATCAACATCTGGCACGTTCTGTGAAGTGTTATAAATTTCTATCTCTGTACTTCAACATTTCTGTTAGATCATATTTCACAAAAATTTTTCTGTCTCAAAAAATTATTCAAACAATGGAAAATATTTGAGAAATACATAGCAAATCTGCAGACTCGATCTGACTAAGACTCACGAATTTAGAATAAGACTAGAAACAAAAAGAAAATCATACATTATCACGAATAATAGCCGCTGATTGAATTATATCCAGACTTAATGAACGTACATTATCCATTATATATGGTACATCATTTGTTAAATTTGAAGAAGAAATTTTATTTGTTGTACATTCGTATGAAATATTTGATTTACATATTGGTATTGAATATAGTTCTAATTTATGTGTATTTTTATAATAATTACATGCGACATACCATTGTTTTTCTAGCCAGAATGATGTTCGAAATGGAGCAATGATGGATTCAATATCACATTTAGTTTCTTTATAATCTATTCGTTTGTTGAAGAAAAACTCAAATAATTTAAGTTGATTTAAATTCTTTTGAAAGAATTCTGCCCACCAACGACCACTCCAAGAAAGTTCAGGCATCGTTGGCCATGCTATCAGTTTAAAATGAATTAATGATGGTGTGCATAACAAAATTGATATAATCATATTCATACATAAAGAATACCCTTCAACTGTCAATGATTTTAATTTTGATTTTATTTGCATAGTAGTAGCTAAATTTTCATCGATGTTAGGCGTAGAAATACTACTTACCATTAATGTTTCTAAGTGAGGAAAATGAAGAAGAATGTCAAATATTGATTTGTTCAGAATACACTCAGTAAGTTTCATATGTTGTATTGGATATTGCATGTTATCAATTGTTAAACGACTGACAGATAATTCAAACTTTCGAAGATTACGGAGTTTTTCTAGATTTGTCGAGAGAAAATCATCTGTTGTAGTGATTGGTCTCGGCATATTTCGATAATCAATAGAAAGTGAAACAAGTGAACACGTACTGATATGTTGTAAATATACAATTGAATCTGATTCACTAACTTGAATAAGAGTTAAAGAACGAAGTCGAGTAAATAGAGATATATTAAACAATGAAAGAAATAATTTAATTTGACCAGATGTTTTATGTCCATCAGATAAAACAAGAGAAATAACATTTTCAGGTTGAATAAAATGACGTATGAAACAAAATTTTGGTTTTGTAATTAAACGAAAATCGAGTTGATATTGATTGTAAGTATTAACAATTGTATAAAAATGTTTACAAACATTTCGAAAAGAAAAAAATACAGTTTCTGTATCAATATAATCAATAATTCGATGTAAAAGTTCGGTAGGTAAGACGTGTAAAGATGACGTAGACATTGATGTGAATGGTTGAATTGGCAATGTGTTAGTTTGTTGGGGTTTTTTTTTTCATTTGATTATGCAATGACCTAAGAAAAAAAAAAATGAGATGTTGATTTTCTTTTTTCTATGCTAAAAGAATATGAAAGAAAAAAAACGTGTTCTTTTCTCCATGTGTTATCGTATTTTTAGATTGATCATAAAAGTTTGCAATATTTTGTTTTTCTATCAAGCTTTATACGTTGGTTTAGTTTTTTTCGCCGAATTTCAGAAGAATAATCGAAAAATTTACTGAATCTTTACAATATGTAAGATATTCAAATTGAATAAAGTGTCACAATATAATTTATTGATTTAATCAGAGATATATATCGAGTTAAATCAACGTCATACAATCTCGAATAAACCTAATATAAATTCCAATTTTAACTTAATGAATCAGATATTCTGAATGTTTTTAAAATGGTTTCAATATTTTATTCTGCAGTATATAAAGAATATCGTATGAGTAAATAAACCAGTAGATCAAGTATAAATTTATTGTAAAAATATTTATTTTAATAATAAGATAAATCAAAACAAAACTTCAATGATTTCGTTCATAACTTTTACGAACACTTAATGCATCTAACGAGTAGATCGAACGTTTTGAGACAAAATATTTATTCATTTATTGGCTCCATTGAAAGTGTTGCCGAGATATCAAAAGCTATGGATTATGACTAGCATATTGTACACATTCTGAATATGGCTTTAGAAATTTTATCACAGTTTTCGTTTGAAAGACCCAAAAAATGGATTTGAACGGCAAATTTTTTCTACATATTTTTGTATTTTCACTATTGTGAATCGAAACTAAAAGTTGTGATCTTTATTTATATATCAGATCGTAGATCAGAAGCAACTTTACAAAATGTATTCTTTCAAGCTTTTATTTTTTTGTCTTTCAATTTTTATTTTTCTTAAATACTCATTTTTGAAAAATCGACAACTGTTTTACATTGAAATGAACTCTTGAAAAAATACTTGTAACCTCACTTGGATAAATAGCTGCAACTTAGTTCAATATCACATTTTGTAGAAAAATGTTTGGTCTACAAAACGACTGACTTCGACAATTTTTAGCATGTTTGAAAAGGGACTTATAGATTAAAGAAAAACTTATTGACTCACTATTAAAAATAATTTTTCAGGTCTTTCAAAAAGTCCCTCACTACTCTTGAACAAAATTAGACACAATATTTCTAAGTTCATATCCAAATTCTGATCGCGACCTATACTTGTTGGCTCGTCTGAAATGCTTACAAGTATAGACCAAAATGAACAAATATGTTCACCAGAAATGTCGGCCCATAAGTTCCGTTTAAACTAATTTTTTGACTTTTCAAAGATTATTTATCTACTCTCGAATGAAAACAAAGACTAAATTTCTAAGTTCATATTTGAAAAGAGTATTTTAACTCATGACTTTTCTCTCGTTGAAAATATTTCCTAGCAGGTCAAAAGTGAACAAACATCTTGTCCAAAAACTTTCAGATCATCAGTTAATATAGATTCCGAAGTTCATTTCATGTCAATAGGACCGTGATTCAAATAACATATTAGTTGATTCGATATTTATAAGCAAGACAAGAAAATGAATAGAGATAAAATATAACTGAATACATCCTTTTTTATTTATTTATGTGGCAGGAGTCATTGCGGACAAAAAAATAAACTACGCAGAAAAATATCATTTCTTTTTAATTTCTCCTCTGTATGTAGGAGTTATTACTAATCGATCTAATCTGTTTGCTTAGTGAATGGATACAGACAGTATGAAAGATTTTCACGTGATACCATAAATCAAGTACACTTTTCTAAAAGAAATCTTTTATAAAGTTAACATATTTGTTTGTCCGCATTGAGTGAATTTCTGAAAATTTGATTTCATTTGCTCATGAATATACATGAATCCTTGAACATATGGAAAATTCTTGTGATTTTCTTCTTTCAATTACTAGTAAGTAATCATCGAAGAACAATTTTCTTCTACAGTAACAACGAATAGTTACCATTCTCCAATTCATACAATAGAAAGAAAAAATTAATTGAATGTCATACGATCAAAATTCTATTATTCAATTTTACCAAAAATAACAAACATCATGCATTTTCCTTCTGTATTTTTTCGAATAAGAAATCGATAGAGATTATGGATATATATTTAAAATGGCTTTTTTATTTATAGGCTGGTGTAGAAATAGTATACAAAAAAAAAAAACCAAAACAAATAAGTAATAGTTCAAAGTAGTAACATAAGTATATATGATCAATTGATTTTCTTAGTTCGATTCAAACGTTTGCGTGGTTGTGATATAATCACTCTATAAATTTATATATAATTATCTTTTGAAAATAATAATTCTAAAACAAAAAAAAACATAAGTAAAATATACAATTTACTTACCCACGATCACGATGAGGACAACAGCAATCAAGTGGAATACAAACAATACAATCAACAGGACCACAATCACAACACAACTAAAATTATTTTAATTCAGAAAAAAAAACGAAACTAAAGTATAAATTTGATCTTCTTACCGGTAGACACATGCTTTATTCGTTTGTTAAAATAAAGTTGATAATGGCCAAATGTATAAATCCACTTTTTTCTTCTTCTTCTTCTTCTTAATATACGTTTTTTAACCTTTTACTCATCAAGATACTCCTACGTGTTTTTATTTTTTTCTATTCTATATGATGTATTTATCTCAGGGACGAATATATAATGTATCGCAGACAAGACTAATGATACATTAATGATCCTTTTAACCATATATATACGGAAACCAAATAATATAATAAATCACGTGGTAAACACATTCCCATGGAATAAATAAAAACTAATTCGACTTATTTCGTTTTTTTTCTTTATCTATACATATTATGAACTATTATTTTAGCATCTTTTATCTTTTATAAACAAACTATGCAATGTCGTTTATATTATTATCAATATCCTATTAGACTTCTACAAGTTGCTATTCGACAATTATCAAGTTTGAATGAAGAAAAACCTAAATATCATAATTCAACAGAAAATCAAAAAGCAAAATGGTATCGAAATGGACTTCATCGACCATTGTTATCCGGCACAAGTACGTTTGAAAAACGTAATATTTTTCTAATGTTAGTGTATTATTATTATTTTTTTTTTTTTTGGAAATAAAATCAATGTATTTCTAAGAATTATTTATTTATTAAAGGGGACCTCCAGGTAGTGGAAAAACAAGTGTTGGACGTGAGTTAGCTCGTTTAATGAATAAACCTCTTATTGATATTGATGATAATTGGCTTGAACCACGATGGAAAACAAGTGTAGCATCAAAATTAACTGAACTTGGTGATGAACAATTTCTTGAAGCTGAAGGTCGTGAATTATTAGCAATAGATCATCAAAATCATATTATATCATTAACGGGTTCAAATCCTTTACATTCTCAATCAATGGAACATCTTTCTCAACTTGGTATATTTGTCTATTTGGATGTATCACGTGAAACAATTTTAAATCGTTGTGAAATGATGAAAGTTGATCGTATTGTTGGACAACGAACAAAAACATTGAATGATATACTTGCATGGCGTGAACATATTTATGAAAAATCATATGATATAAGAATTATTATTGGTAAAGATGAAACACAGAATGATATAGCAAAAAAAATTTTCAATCAACTTGAACAACAATCAAAATTTTATGAAAGTACTCGAAGTGAATATCAAAAGAAAAATCAACAATTTCTTGATATTATTCAACAAGGACTTGCACCTGATGGTGGACTTTTTGGTAAGAAGAATTTTGAAAAAAAAAAAAAGAATATTATTTATTTTTATATATATATATATACAGTTACTCGTTCATTCAGTCGATTATCTCTTAATGAATTACAACGTTTAATTGGTTTATCATATCCTGAAATAGCTTTACGTATTATGGAACGTTTTCCACTTGGGACACTTCATCCATCTCATTTACGTTCTTTACTTTGGCAAGCATATTCAACATTTAATAAACAAATTTTACCAGTTCGTCATCTACAAAAAAATCAATATTTAATGGAAACTTTTCATGGACCAACAGCATCATTTAAAGATTTAAGTCTTCAATTATTACCTCATTTATTGCAAGCAGCTACAGAATTAACATCAAAAGATGATAATAAATCAAATCGTTTAGGTCTTCTTGTTGCTACATCAGGAGATACAGGTTGTGCAACACTTGATGCTTTTGCACGATTACCTGGTACACCTATTATTGTTCTTTATCCAAATACTGGTGTATCTATTATACAAAAACTACAAATGCAAACAACATCCGGTGATGTTTGTATTTTAGGTGTTGATGCTGATTTTGATTTTTGGTAAATAATTTTGAATCTTTTATTATTATTATTTATTCATAATTAATTTTAGTCAAACAATGGTTAAAAATCTTTTTCATGATAAAAAATTTCTTTTTGATATTAATCAAATTTTACCTGATCTACATCTTTTATCAGCTAATAGTATTAATTGGGGTCGATTTTTACCTCAAATTGTATTTACAATAAGTTCTTATTTACAACTTATTGAACAAGGTGTAATAAATTTAGGTGAATTAGTTGATATTTGTATACCAACAGGTAATTTTGGTAATATACTTGGTGCTTTTTATGCTCGACAATTAGGTTTACCTATTCGACATTTAATAACAGCATCAAATGAAAATAATGTTATTACTGATTTTATTCGAACAGGATCATATGATTTACGTAATAGATCATTTCAAAAAACAATTAGTCCAAGTATTGATATATTAATTAGTTCAAACCTTGAACGACTTATTTATTTATTATCAAATGGAAATTATTCAATGATTCAACAATTATTCACTAAACTTTCAAATGATCGTTATTTTAATATTAATTCAAACTTATTAAAACAAATTCAATCTGAAATTCAAGGTGATTGGACAAATGAAAATGAATGTATAGAAACAATAAGAAAAATTTATTATGAAACACAACAATTAATTGATCCACATACAGCTGTTGCTGTATGTGTTGCAGAAAAATTTTTAAAACAAGATAATATACCAATGCTTATTTCATCTACAGCTCATTATGGAAAATTTCCTCAGACAATATTAAAAGCAATTAGTAATAATGAACAATCATTATTATCAAATGATATATCAACATTATTCAAAGATTTACAATCATTAAAATCAATTTCACCAATGCATCATGAATTAATTAAATTATCAAATAAACCTATTATACATAGAAATGTAGTTGAAGCAAAAAAATCGGCTATTATTAAAGAAATTAAAATATTTTTAGAACAATTTTCTAAAAAACATTTATCCTAATTTATAAATATTCAAAAATTAAAAATATTGAATAGAAATTAAAACAATAACATAGAAAAAAAAAACCTTTGACATCTTTTTTTTTTTTTTGAAAAGATTTCTGATGTACTTAATATTTCTTCTCAAATACCATCTTTCTTATGAGGAAAGAATAGTCAATAGAATAATAATTCAATTGATTAAAAAGAATAATTTCAAAACTCAAAGGTATATTAAATTTTCGTGATAATAATTACAGTAAAAAACCTCCAATAGTGAACACTTCGTGGTTCGACGAAATGATTTTTGTTGATGTTAAACCTCTCTATAGTGGATATCATCATAATGTTCTATAGTGAATACTTTTGAAAAGTTCCAATGACGTATACGATAGCGGAATTCTAATAATTGTTAATTTTCCAAAGACAAAAATGCATGAAAAGGTAAGTAACAATGAGTAATAATTCATTTTTTTAAATTCACTAGCATCTTTCAAATACCTAAGAAATCCGCCCATTCTTTAACTATCCTCCTTATAGTGAATACTTTTAAAAAATCCCAAGGCTGTTCACTATAGGAAGGTTATATTATAGTTATGATTTCTAGTATACAATAGTCACTAATAAAATCCTTATAGTTACTTAACAAGTGTTTCTTTTTAAGAGGTTTATTTATTGGTATACTTGATTCGTGGTACTAAAACACTATATTATTATTATTCTGATAATTTTGCCCGTCGTATCATATGTGCTTTTGAAAGTCTGGAGATCTTATGTGTCAACTTTATTATTTTCTGTTCCATTCAACCTGCTTTAAATAATAAATCGCAAGACTTCAAGAATTATTATGAATTCGGATCATAGATACTTACTTTTGTTTTTGTAAGAATCGATACATATTTAACCTATAATTATTAATACTAATTCGATGTTTCATAAATTCCATTAAAAATAAATTTTTTTGTTTGTGTTAAGCTTTATCTATTTGGTATTTCCGATTTCTAGGCAAGCTTTATTGATTACATTACACTTCTCGATAAAAACTTCTATAACTTGATCTACATATTTTAAATATTCATTCTTTTTTTTTTTTTTTTTTACTTGCTACAATAACATCAACAATCTGCTTGAATATTATATATACGTCTATTATATCAAGACAATGATGATGAGAATCACTTTGACCAATGAACTTCTATGTGTTTTCTAATTACCATTCTTTCGAAAAAATAAAAATAAAACAAAAAAATCAATTCAACTTGTATCTTCTTTTATAAATAAATTTTTCCTTTAAACGAACACAAAAAGAAAATGTCGAAGAATTTTTCTACCAAGGTCTTTGTCAATACAATTCATCTATCTTATCAACCTAACTAAACATAGACAATTTCAATCATGATTCAATTGACGTCAATGTTCATCATATTCATTGTTTCATCTTTCATTTTTTTTTTCTCGAACACGTCTTTATCTTTATTTGAACAAATAAGCAACAAAAAACAAGCAAATGTTGCATTCTATTCGATATCTCTCGAAGAAAATTAATTCTTTCTCTACTCTTTCTCATATTCATATATACAATTGCTTTTAGTCCACCCACTAATATGACCCTGTTCATGTATGTGTAAAGAATATTTTAACAGAGAAAGCAAACGAGAAAAATACAAAAAAAAAATAGAAAAAACGTCAAGTGATCCGACTCTTATATAAAAGCCGATTTGTCGTTCTCATCGTAATTAATATTTGCAAATCAAGAGCATGTGTATTATTGTACCTTTTTGATCATATTGATTTTGACTTGAACAGACAACCGGAAAGATCGACATGGATCGTAAGTACTTGTTCTCGCGCCTCGATTATCTTTTGTTACTACATCGATCATACGAACAATTGATTTAACCACTTTCGCAACAATTCTATAGAGACCTCTCCCATTCGCCCGTTGGCTGATAGTATGTAGTATGTCTATTTGATTTCTGTCACTTTAGTTAACATCTGACTGCGCATATATGTGTGTCTCCACCCTATTTTTCCGTCATCATCATCATCATAGTGCTCTCTAAACTTCTTCTCCTTCTTTTTCTTTCTCATTTTCTTAGCAGCAATTGAAATAATGTTGTTAGAGAAGTCGTTCGCTTATGTTCTCTCGTCAATTCTTTTCAATCAAAGACGCATTTTCATTGGCAGTAGTTAGTCGTTTCTTTTGCTCATAACAATGAATCAAAAAAAGAAAAAGAAAAAAATCTTTGCTAACAATGTAGCAATAGCTAACATAAAAAAAAAAAAAAAAAAAAGAAAACTAGAAAAAAAATCAAGAGAATGTTGTCCAATATAGACATTGCTTAAAACATTAATAGCAAAACAAGAAAAGAGACGAGAAGTCATCCATGGAGTCCAACGACCCGACACTATCAGACAAGACCTCAACACTATTACCACCACCCTCAACTTGGCCAGCCTTGTACAGATCATATTTTGGTATGAATTGATTATATAACTGAATATACACATATGCGCGTGTGTATATTGATTGTCTTGAATTGAGATCATTGAATAGAAGAAAAAGTCAAAGGGAGAACGATGAAAATCAAACAAAAAAACGAAAAGAAATTTTTTTTTTGTTTGTTTTTTTCATCTTAAAAATTAAATTGAACGCACACACATACATACAGATCTAGACCAACAAATTCTTATCACATGCAATGAATGAATTCCTTCTTCATGTTTTTTTTCTTTGTTTCTCGACGAAATAATGTCCTGTCTGGAATGTAGTTCAGGTCATTGTGGTAATAATTGTATGCTATAAGAGATGATGATGATCAAGCTCTTTCTTTTTTCTTCTTATAGTTATGTAAAAGGGTTCAAAAATGAGATAAAGGTCTTGTTGTCAATACACCTTGAAAAAATCTTAAAAAAAAAAAAAAAAAAAGAGACGCGTCGCGAAGGTTACACACACATTTCGATGTCTTCTTCATTCATTGTCTCGACGTAGGAAGACCTTTTTTTGTGTGTTCTTTTCCTTCATTGTTGTTGTCACATTTGCTTAACCTTTCCTTTTTTTTTTTTTTTTTTTTTCGTATCCTATGACTGACAGTATATTGTCATTCTTTTCCTTGTTATCGGGATTTTTTTCTTTTCGTCGCCCAACTTTCGTATTTAGTAAGTATATTTTTTTTACCTTGAAGAAAATTTCTTTTGTTATTATTAATAATGACCAAATTAAAGGTCGTATTTAAACCATGTCCGTTTATGATGAATACCAAATATCCGTTCCGATACAAGGTCATATGAAGCTATACAGTTAACGAGACTCAAATGTTCTTTATGTATATGTGTTTGATAACCCAATGTGTTGTGCTACTCGAGAGAACGAGGAAAAAAGAAAATTCTTCTTCTATTTTGACCATCGGCTATTGAATGATTTGTCCGAGTATGAATACATTCATATAATACAATGGATTGTAAGTATATAAAAAAGAAAAAAAAAATTCTTTTTTTCTAAAAGGTCTTTTAAGATTAGAATGAATGCAAGAAATAAATAAAGAATATCACGTTTTTGAAATCAATCGGATCATTGATAGCATATGTATGTCACAATAAAAATAAAGACATTGTATCGATCAATGATGTGTGACATTAACTATATATATATATATTTTTTTTTCCACCTGAAAGTATTTGACTCTATTGCAACACTCGACACATGGTTCGCTTAAGTTAGATTAGGGAAATGTATTCGTTCATGTATATTTGAGTATCTATTATTGTATTGATATAAAAAAATTTAATAAGTTGACATGTGTTTTGAAAAGATCAGCATGAAATATCTAATTGTGCATATGTGATACTATTCTCTTTTTCTTTTTCCATATTTCATTCGTTCGTTCTATGTTGTCTATTTTTGCTAAAATGTTCCTTGATTGGTCGTTTTATTATTTTTTTTCGAATGACATATTTTATTGATTGGAGAAAATAAAATTTATATTTCATTTTTTTTTCTTTTTTTTTTTTTTTTTTGTAGCGTTTGCATTTGGTTCACCGATGACATTAATGAATCATCATCATCAACAGCAATATATTCCACCATCATGGTCAACAGCAGAAAATAATACCCGATTTCTTTCAATTGATTCTCAACAACCACAACAACATCAACAACATCATCATCATCATCATTGTCGTCCCACATTTTCAAACGAAACAAATAATAATAATAATAATAATAATCATTATAATAGTATATCATCACATATTCAACCAAAATTAGAACCAAATAATATAATAACAAATGGTAATAATGAAACAATTATTGATGATCAACATACAGATACCCATTCATCAATGATAAATGATAAACAAACAGTTGAATGTGTTGTATGTGGAGATAAATCAAGTGGAAAACATTATGGACAATATACATGTGAAGGTTGTAAATCATTTTTTAAACGTTCAGTTAGACGTAATCTTAATTATACATGTCGTGGAAAGTAAGTTTAAATATTATTGAATTCAATAGAGAAGAACAAAAAAAGTTAAATAGGATATATATATCTATTTTATTTAAAATCATAAGAATTAAACAGTATGCTTTAGGAGGATAGTGATACTTTCATTGAATTCTAGAAGATATTGGAGACTAAATGAGAATTGTAGTATACAAGCAAGGTATCTTGAATTTCTTGATAGTCATAATAATTTTCTAATAAAATTTAAATACAATTGAAGAAATCATTAGAATTCAACACATTCTTTAGGTTTCTAAAAGAAAGTTATAGTAGCTCTGATCCATAGCAATATGACTAATAATCTTTTTCTTTTTTGTCCTAGTCGAAAATGTCCTATTGATACTCATCATCGTAATCAATGTCAATATTGTCGATTTTCTCGTTGTTTAAAAATGGGCATGAGACGTGAAGGTAACAACCTATGTCATCTTTATTTCATATGCATATATATTTTGTTTTTTTCTTTTAAAAGCTGTTCAACGTGGTCGTGTTCCATCCGTAGCAAATACTTATGGAC